TTCCAGATGTGTTAATGCATCATGCACAATGTAAGACACTGACAGTCCCCGTCCCAATATATTGAAGCTTAGTTATAGTTGGAAATTTATTTCATAGAAAACTATGTGGCAAGTTTTATATTCAAAGTCAATATACCAAACAGACCAGCCCATCCCTATTTCCCCATAAACCATATTCACAATAATTTGCTTATGCCCCATCAAATCCAGAGTCCCTGGAAGAAGTCATTTTCTACTTGCTTCGGATCCCAGGGTTTGCACCAAATGCCTTCCTGGCCCTCTCATATATAACTTTTAAGCTCACTGTGTATAGTTCAGTTGTGCTTTTCATCCCTTGTGCATTTGAAACTTCTAGAAGGTATATCTAGGGTATCTCGTGCGTCCTCAGTTATGAGTAAATGCTGGCCTTCCTAAATTACTGAGAAGACAACAGGAAATACACTATATTGGAAAAGGAAAATAATTTCATAATTTCTTTGCTTTTCTCTTTTTCCCGTTTTGCCGTATACAGGATTATTTTGTTTCCTCAGATATGCTGCCCATTTTAGCTTCAGCTGCCATAACAAAATTCCATTAACTGGATGGCTTAAACACAGAAGTTTATTTCTCACAGTCCTCAAGGCTGGAAGATCCAAGATTCTGACCGCTTTGGTTCCTGCTGGAGCTCTCTTTCTGGCTTGCATATTGCCACTATCCCACTGTGCGCTCCCATGACCTCTCCTTTGTTAGTGTGTGTATAGTTGGGGGGGGGGGGAGAGAGAGAGAAAGAGTTCTTTAGTACATCTTCTTATAAGGACAAGAATTCCATCATGAGAGCTCGAACCTCATGACCTCCTTAAAATATTATGTCCCAAAGGCCCCATCTCCAAATACCGTCATATTACTGGTGATGAACTCAACATAAGAATTTGGAGGGATGTGATTCAGTCCATAGCAGATCATTGTTCCCTGGTAAGTATTAAAACCACGTTCTTCCTCCACATTCTTGCTAGGACCACAGATTGGCTAAGAAATCCATCTAGAAGAGCGCTCTTTAGACCAAGTCACCAAGGAAATTAAGTAATAACAGATAAGGACAACCTAGAAGAGGAAAAATACTTCAAAAGCCTTTCAAAGAATAAGCCAAAGAGAGGATTATGTCTTAAAATGTTCAGAAATAGGGGCCAGCCGAGTGGCTCAGTTAGTTAAGATTGGCTTGCGGGAGCTCTGAGCAGCAGGGTTGTCAGTTTGGTTCCAAATGGGCCAGTGACGCTGCGCCCTCTACAGCTAAGATAGTGAACAACAGCTGGACCTGGAGCTGGGCTTCTGTGAGTCGCCGGCAATGGTGTAGGCTGCAACGGGGCTGCAGTGGGCTGCCTTAACTACCATGAGCTGCCGTGAGCAGCAGTCCAATGGCCAGCAAGCGACTGCCTCTCCCGGGAAGAGCGCAATGATAATACCAACATGGGCCAGTGAAGCGATGTCCTCCACAACTAGACTGAACAGCAACTTGTCTGTTCCCCACCCCCAATTCCCCAACGCTGTTCCCCTCCCCCAATTCCCCAATAAAATCTTTAAAAAAATATTGTTCAGAAATAGGTTCTAGGGAGAGTTAGAGATTCACTTGTTTGAGAGATATGTTGTAAGAAAGTTCACAAGGTAATTCTTATTTTTCTTTAAGAGGTAAATTTATATCTGGTCACTTAGCAACCACATGAGAAACAATTAAAACAACAAATAAGTAATGTTCAGGAATTAGGGGATGTTAGGGCATTAATGTCATAGCAAAGTTAGAAAACAGAAATAACATTAATTGATCTCCAGCCTGCCTTCAGAGCCCTATGGGATGTGGACTATAATTTTTCTGATGATCTCACTTGCATCATACTCCGAAGTAAGATCCCTTGTGATAGAGTCACCGACCAAACCCTGCAGTTGGTGGTTGCTCAAACCCATTTGGAGAAGAAATAGAAATGCCCTCTACCCAGGTAGGTTCCAGTATTTTAAAATTGGGGTCCATAGGCATTTTGAAAATAAAGTAGAAGAGAATAGAAAGGTTTTCAAATAAAATATTTAGGTAGCATGTTCAGAAAATAAGGTTGAGTATTTTCTCTAATTTTATTTCTGTATGTATATATGTGATATTATGTAAGATAGATTTCTTATTAGTTTGAAGTGAAAATAAAATTTTGAGATCACCAAGATAGAATCTATTATACTGCTTGGATAAGCTAGGCTCTTAATTCACTAAACTGTAATCTATGTCCAAACACTCCTTCCCATTTTTGCTAACCATTTTGCCTAAGATGAGAAGTGAACACATTAAAATCAAGTCACCAGTGTTTCCCTTGATACACTGAACATAAGTAGAGGGCATTAATTATGAGCAAGGGGAATGAATATTGAGATATTATTATAAAAATCAACCTTTAATTCCCCATTACTAAACATCTAGAAGGGGCTATAGTAGGAAATGAATGAAAAAGATATGAATTTTACCCATGGAGCCTACAATCTATTAAGACAAGAAATATGGAAACAGATGGCTGCCACAAATGTGAAGGGTTATGTAAATACCATGTATAAAATGTTTCTCAAACACAAGATGAAAGCTGTTAAGTATCAGAGCATGGAATTAAAAGTAGGGAGGTCTTTACAGGAGAGGTGGGATTTGGAGTAGGCCTTGAAGGATGATTAGCAGTTATCCCTCCAACTCTCCATTCACCATCCACCTGGTAGAGATGAGCACAGGAAAAAGCACATACAAAAGCAGGGAAGCAGGGAAGGTTATGTAGAAACTGAGGACCACAAAAGCCATTCTTCTCATTAAATTACTATGTGTTGGTTGTGGCAGAAGAGAAGAGATGTGAGTATAACTTGAATATACATTATGGGTCTTATGGTAAAAGGTCATATATGATATGCTTTCAAATATATTTGCATATGTATGCACCAAGTGAAGATGGCATACTGAAATTTTTGCAGCTGCCACACAGTGGACTCTTACATGGTATTTTGGGAGTTGGAAACCAAATTCCCCATCAAATAGTTGCTTATCTGTTTCAAAATGGGTTTTATGTATTTATTGGACTGCTAATTAGACTTTATAAAGTTGTAATGACCTACCCATCTCATGTAATGATAATTGGCAGCAATGATCAATATTAGTGTTTTCATTTTCTTCAAATAAATACCCAGAAGTGGAATTGCTGGATCAGATGGTAGTTCTAGTTTTACTTTTTTGAGGAAACTCCATATTATTTTTCATAGTGTTTGTACCAATTCACTTCCCCATCAATAGTGCACAAGGGTTCTCTTTTCTCCACATCCTTGCCAACCCTTGCTATTTCTTATGTTGTCGATAATAGCTGTTCTAACAGGTATGAGATGATGTCTCACTATGGTGTTGATTTGCATTTCCCTGTTGATTTGTGATGTTGAGTATCTTTTCATGCCTATTGCCCATCTGTATGTCTTCTTTAGAAAAATGTCTAGTATTTAGATCTTCTCCTTGTTTATTAATTGAATTGTTTTTTTCCTATTGAGTTGTATAGTTCTTTACATATTTTGGATGTCAATCCCTTATCGTATATACAATTTGCAAGTGTTTTCTCCCATGCAGTATGTTGCATGAAAACTTTCTGAGATTATCTGGGTAAGAATTGCAACATATAAAAGTCATTAGTCATTGAAAAGGCAGGAAATATGAGTTATTTTCTCAGTATAATACTTATACCAAGTTATATTCACTATATGCAAAGCCATTTATTGGTTTCCTCAATATTGCTTTTAATATTTCATGTGGAAAGACAGAGAAATATGACATTATAAATTTAGTAACCAAATCTTTATTTCTATATGTATTACCCTGTCCTAAACTAAACCTTATATTGATGTTCATATTCCAATTTTGAACAACAGTTCAAAAGGATAGGTAAAACATATGAAGAAATTCCATTTAAAACAATATTTAAGAACTATTAGCATAAATTAATCCAACTCTGTGTGTTTCAAAATAAATAGTGATGTGTAGGAGCATGAACACTGATGTAAATCCATTAAAAAGCAGACATCACTTTTACTTTAATTAAGCAAAATATGTTTAAAATTTGCAGGTATTCACTGCATTTGATCAGGTAGGTTGATGTTTTATACATAAAGATAAGTATGAAGTACTGTAACAAGAAATACTTGGAGACACGTAGGCATGCAAGGACAGAATACATTGGGTATATTGAGATTATAATGGTCGGTGGGCTCCTGCATCAGAAAAACACAGGTTTGAATTCCAGCTGGACTAGCTATGTGGGCCTACTTCAGGGGCTTAACCTTCCCGAGATGTCCCTCCCTCATCTGTAAAATGGACATGATAAGACACGAAGTAAATAAACACCTATAAACCATGTTACTGGGTGGGTCTTTCATAAAGTCACCCACTTTCAGCACTTTTATTATGAACACAATTATGAGGATTGAGTAGCAGCCTGTGGTGACCTCTCTGTGGGAAGGAATGAGTAGAATAGACAAAAGAAGATTCTGGATCTGTCAGCCCTGCAGCTTTGTGGTGTTTGTGTCACACAGGCACAATGACAGGTTTGTCAGCGATGTCACTGCAGAAAATTCATTTTTCTCTGTGTTATTGATGTTAAGGTTTTTAAATAAAAATAGTAGCTGTCAAGTTTTTAAAAATTAATCTTAAATTTTAAACAATATCATGCACAAGAGATTTGGACAAAAAGCCAACATGGCTGAATCCTATCATACTAAAGCTCTTAACTTTATCAATGCAATCGATATGGGTGAAAGAAATGAGTGTTTCCTCCAAAATATCTGCTTTTGCTCTTTCTCCCATCCCCGACTACAAGTATACTACTCATCATTTTAATATTAGCACTTTCATGTTAACAATAAAATTGCTTTCTTCAGGATATTAAGGTATAAAAAAATATATGAAGATTTAAGGTTAATTTAATTAAGCTGGATTCAATTTTCCTCCTTTTATCCAGATACACTGAAGGTGCATGGCCCAGATCAATTGCACCCAGGTGACAGAATTTATTCTCCTAGGCCTCACAGATCGCCAGGAGCTGAAGATGCCCCTCTTTGTGATTTTCTTATCTATTTACCTCTTCACAGTAGTCGGCAACCTGGGTTTGATCCTCGTCATCAGGACAGATGCAAGACTCAACACACCAATGTACTTCTTCCTTAGCAACCTGGCTCTTGTCGATTTTTGTTATGCTTCTGTCATCACACCCAAAATGCTTGGGAATTTCTTGTACAAACAAAACGTTATCTCCTTCAATGCATGCGCGGCTCAATTAGGCTGTTTCCTGGCCTCCATGACAACTGAATGCTTACTTCTGGCTTCTATGGCCTATGACCGATACGTGGCCATTTGTAACCCTCTCCTCTATATGGTCTTGATGTCCCCAGCAATCTGCATTCAGCTTGTGGCTGTCCCCTATAGCTATAGCTTCGTACTTGCACTGTTTCATACCATCCTCACCTTCCGCCTCTCCTATTGCCACTCTAATGTCATCAATCATTTCTATTGTGATGACATGCCTCTCCTCAGGCTAACTTGCTCAGACACTCACTCCAAACAGCTATGGATCTTTGCCTGTGCTGGTGTCATGTTCATTTCTTCCCTTCTGGTTGTCTTTGTCTCGTATGTGTATATTATTTCTGCCATCCTGAGGATGCGCTCAGCTGAGGGTAGGCGCAAGGCTTTCTCCACATGTGGCTCCCACATGCTCGCGGTCACCATATTTTACGGGACCCTGATCTTTATGTACTTACAGCCAAGCTCGAACCATTCCCTTGACACAGACAAGATGGCCTCTGTCTTCTACACGGTGATCATTCCAATGTTGAACCCCTTGATCTACAGCCTTAGGAACAAAGAAGTGAAAGAAGCCCTGAAGAAAGTCATCATCAATAGAAACCAGGTTTTTGTGTTCATGAAATTAAGAAAGTGATGTGAGTAATAAAGTGGACTTTCCTTCATGGTCTGTTTCTTTTCTCTCTTGAAAAATTATCAGAATTCATCATTCTAAAATGTGATCATATATATATATATATATATATATATATATACATATATATATATATTATACATATGTATATATTCACTGTATAATGAAATTTTTTAAAGATGTTCATTTAGAAGAGATTTCAGCTATAAAAGTAATGATAAGAATTTACACCCATTTTCTCATTTTTCAAATGAAAAATATATTTGAAATAATTGACCTTTGGTACATAAAAATGTATACCAATTTTCCCATTTCTCAAATGAAGAATTGCATAAAAAGCCATTATCAGGATATATTACTAGTTACAGGCAGGACATGGACTAAAGTTCAGATTCTCTACCACTCGAAATCCCCTGTTCAAGGTTCTCTGGCTGCCTTAACAATATCCTATGTGAAAAGCAAAGTTACATAGTCTAAATGTTTTTTCCTATTTTACTTATTTCTCGAAAAAAAATTAAGACTATATAAACGTTTTATACTTATGCATTTAACAAATTGTCTTTATTAAAGAGAATAGTATTACATCCCAGCTTTATTATATCACTGATTTAACATGGCTGTCTACTAACCTGGAAGTCTAGTTTGGCCTCAAAAGACTAACCCCTTAAGAGAATTGCTTTGTTTTTTGAATGCCTATGAGACATCATTAGATTTTTTTCCAGTTATCTTAAAAAACAATAATAATGTAAACGAGGGATAGAATCCCAAGGGTTATCATACATTCTAAACAAATATATTCAAAATAATTGAAATATATAGACCATTTTGCCAATACAAGGAGCCAGTTTGCTGCTGTGAGTCCTTTTGGTATGTTAAGATAGAAGCAAGGGGAGGAAGGGGGAACTGAGGAATGTCTTTTCTTTAACCTTTTATTCCCCGGCAGAAGCAAAGCAGGTGTACAGAAGCAAAAAGGAGCTGTTAGTTTTTTAGAGTATATGGGAGTAGCTGAAGTAGCTGAAGCCAATACAGTTATCCTGGGCAAACCATGGGTGAGTTGATCACTATTGATTAAGTTGTAGATTATAACACAATCAATCCAGCAAGCAATGTAGCCTAGTGAAGAGAACATATGTTGTGTAGTCAAAAAAATGACTTTGTGCTATGTATGGGCTGTCAAAAGTTTATCAATTAGATGACAGTGTTATTTAGTTTGGAGTCTTTTACAAGATTAAATAACATGAAAAAAGGTAACAGTAAATAGTATGCACTTGTATATCATCTCCTTTCCTTCTGTGAGCCTAAAGACCTGAGTTCTTGTCTCAACTCTACTAATGAACTTGAGGGAGCAATTTATAAATGAGGAATACCATACACAGCTGATTAACCGTGAAATAGATAGATTGATAGATATAGATATGCATGCATATATTTCAAATGAATGAATAATTTTATAATTTTCAATTACACAGAAAAGGCTTTTGAGTTTGTGACTCATTCATACCATTTAATAGTTCTTTTAAATCTAAGGGCTATTTGAATGCTTAATGACCAAAGACTAGAAAGTTGCTATTAATGCTCAAAGAGAGATGATTATATTCAAATAAAAATATTTCTTAATAAAATTCTTAGGCCAGTGTCCACTCTGATTTTACTGTATATTTTGATGGATCATAGAGACACAGAGCTAGTCTGATCCACAGTTCTCAAAAGATTTTTTTCCTCATCTTTTCTTTAAACACATTGACCTACCATTTGAAGGTTTCAGTGGCACCCTATTTTCTCACAAAGCTCCTGTAGCAGATTTTGAGTCTGTATTCTATATTTTAAAAACTTATTAAGTCAAGGGAATTCACAACCTCCTATCTTGTTAGTCTGGTGTATTTCACTGTGCCATAGCTCTTCTATCACAGAGCATAATGCTAAGTGCCTCACATTAAAATCATTGTACTAAGTGGCAGGAATATGTTAAACAATTTTGATGCTTACGATTTCACTGCTTTCCAGAAAGGTGAAGACAAATTACACCTCTATTAGGTGTTTAAGGTTATATCTGTTTTCTCACACTTTTACCAACAGTGGGTATTATCATTCTTCTAATTTGATCATTCTGATAGACACCTTTTGTGCGTTATTTTATTCATATTTTATGAGATGAACTTTTTCTCTTTATAATTAATAATTATATAAATATATTTTGGAGAGAGACTCCTTGTTGATGTAAAGTGCTTCTCTAGCGTATGGTATAATCATATAAATGTGTGTCTTTTGTTAAATATTATTTTACCCTATTTTTCTGATAATACCCACCTGCTTTTCTATAACTACCATGAGTGCAGTTCATACCAGCTTATAGAAGCTATATCTGCATATCTCTTTTCAACATTGTGTTTAATGACTTCAGGTTGGCAGCTTGAACTCAGGCATGGTGGGAATATTGACATCATGGAAATCAGAACAACAACAGAGGATACAAATCAGCACCCCCTTCTTTGAAAGTCAGTTGATAAACATTCACTACTATGTCGCTAATTCCGACTTGACTTCACATTCTATAGTTGATAGTGTCTTACTACTTGTAAGGATAAACGACCATTACATTTTTAGAAATGTCCTGACGGTTCTTGCAAGTTTATTTACTAGATTTATTTAGGGTTACCTATCATTCATTACACATTTGAATTAACTTGTAAGAATTTTCTTCTTCCCTAAATGTTATTTCACTAAGAAATCATGTAAAACTATGAATTTATTCAACTTAAACATAAACAGCATGAACATATAAGGCCAATATTTTGCTAAGTTTTATATGAAATTAAACCCTAGGTTATAATTTTTTAATTTAAAATAAGTCATCATTTTAAATGAAATTTCCAAAACTACATTTTTACATTTCTTTGAAGTGACACTTTTATAATGGTATCATTTTCATTACACCTTTGTAATAGAAGGCTTTACCACAATCCTAACAAATGTAATATCTTTTCACTAAAGTTATCAGTTTAGATACATTCATATTATATATATATATATATATATATATATATATATATAACTTTCATTCACTTAATAATTTAACATATATTTATTGACCATCTTTGTACTATATACTATTAGAGGTAGGTGATTAAATTGGATATAAAATAGAAATATTATTGGGCTGGCCAAGTGGCACAATGGTTAAGAACTGGCTTGGGATGCCAGAGGGCCCCAGTTCGGATCCCACATATGAGGGCCAGTGACACTGCTCTCCACAGCTAAGATGCTGAACAACAGCTCAACCTGGAGCTGGGCTGCCGTGAGTCGCCGGCGACGGCGTAGGCTGCAGCCCCTGTGGCAGTGGGTTGCCATGGGCTACCGTGTGTAGCCAGCAGCCAGCGTGAGCGGCCAGCAGCCGCAGTGAGCGGCCGTCCAGAAGCCGGCGACTGATCTGCCTCGCCCGGGAAGAGCACAATGATGGTGCCAACTTGGGCCAGTGAAGCAACATCCTCCACAACTAGACTGAAGAACAAAAGGACAGCAACCTGTCTGTTCCCCTTCCCCAATTCCCCAGCACTGTTCCCATCCCCCCAATTCCCCAACAAAAATCTTAAAATATATATATAAATATTATTGATAAAAATAAAGTTTCAAGTTTAGGATGTGTTATAGGCATGTTAACAGTTTGTTGCAACATAGTGTGGCTAGTGTTACGATAAAGGAATCAGGGGAATGCAAACAAGTATACAGCAGGGCCACTTAATTTGTCCTGAAAAGTCATGAAAGGCTCCAAGAGGAAGTGATTTAACAGAGTACGGAAAGCTAAGTAGAAGGAAAATCAGGCAACGGAAATGATGCAGAAGCATTGTGGGTAGAGAATAAAGTATGTGTACATTTTGGGTTCACATTTGAGTAATTATGGTAGTTTGGAAAATCTCCAACATAGAGACTATGTGACAAATAGTGCAAGAGATCAGCCTGCTCTGTGTGAGATGCAGAAACTAGACTTTCAACAGTTATGGCAGCCACTGCAAAGAACTTGAAATTTATCTTGAGGACAATGGGAAGACATCGAAGGATGCATCAGGATAGAAGAACGAAATCTGCATCATGTAAACCTATGTGATTTTACTAGCCATTGTCACCTCAATAAACTTGTTTTTAAAAAAGTTTGTAAATTCAAGGAACAGAGAGAAGTAGGAAAGACTGGAGGCAAGAATAAAAGTTAGGTGTCGGTTGCAAAAACCCAAAACAAAACAAAAAGTCATTGTGATTAGATCAAGGAAATAATAAAAGTAAACAGATTTGAAAAGCATGTAAGGTATACAATTGTTAGGAATTGGGGACAATTTGAATATTGGCATGAGGAACAGGAAAGCATAAGAAAACATAAATGGCCTCCAACTTGGAAACTGAATGGATAATGACACTGTTCACTGAAGTGGAAAATACAAACTCCAGGTCTTGAGTATTAGGTCCCATGTGCAGAGACACCAAGTTTTTGTGTGTGCATGTGATACTTTTGATGAACATCTAGAATATTTAAGTGACCATTTCTGGGAGGCATTTTGATGTAGCTGGATCAGAGAAAATAAATCTGGAATATAAAGATATATTTCTGTATTGATCAGCATATAGATGCCTATTGAGGACATAGGATTGGGTACATAGAAAAGGTGTACATAGAAAACTGTGGGGGCTTTGGAGAGAGCCTGAAGAACATGTGTGAAGCATAGATAATAAAAGCACAGCCTCCAAGGTAGAGAATCAAAATGAGCAAATAAACTCAGAGACTGCTTTGTGCTGGAATCCAAAGGTGTATTCAGTAGGCGTCAATGCCACAGGACTGCCAAAAGAAAAGAGGCTTTACTGGAGTGGGGAATTGGGAAGTTAACAGTAAACTTGGTGAGGGAATTTCTTGGTTTAATGCCGAAGGAAGGTGGATTATTCTTGGTTAAATTATAAATAGGATTAAGAAATTGGGAGAGGATGCCTGTTCTAAGATGTTTGTTTGAAAAGTGGTGAGG